CCTCTCTCTCTCCCCCTCTCTCTCGTTCTCTTTCTCTCTCTCTCTCCCCCTCTCTCTCGCTCTCTTTCTCTCTCTCTCTCTCTCTCTCTCCCTCCCTCCTTCTCTTTCTCTCCTTCCCTCTCTCTATCTCCCTCTCTTTCCCTCTCCCTCTCTCTCTCCCCCTCTCTCCCTTTCTTTCGGTCTCTCAAGTCACTCTGTGTTTTCCCCACCCTGGTACGAGAGCAGCCAGACGAGAAATCCACAAGCTGTAATTGAGGAGATGAGAATGCTAATCCTATTGAACATTTCCCCCTCAGTCAATACCACCTGTCAAATTAAACGGACATCTCCCTCACAGAGGTTGAGAAAGTTCTAGAAACAGATGGTCTCAGAGAAATTGCGAGCGGCAAATATATACGGGCGTGGGGGCGGTATACAGGCAGGTAGACAGAGAGATTGAGAAAGAAAGAAAAAGAGAGAGAGAGAGAGAAAGAGAGAAAGAGAGAGAGAGAGAGAGAGAGAGAGAGAGAGAGAGAGAGAGAGAGAGAGAGAGAGGAGGGGGGCACAGAGAGGAGAGAGAAAGACAGGGAGAAAGAGAGCGAGAGAAAGAATGAGAAAGAAATTTTTTTTAAAGAAAGAGAGAAAGAAAAAAAGAAAGAAAGACAGACAGACAGACAGACAGACAGAGATAAAGAAAGACAGAAATCGGTGTGGAGGTGTGGTGACGCTCGATTTGAAACCCCCAGCCCAGACATCGGTGGCACGTAGGGGTAGTTTGCCAAGCGGTTTCGGGTTCGGACCACACACGGAAGAGGCAGCCTTGACACCATGCACGCTCAAAGCGAAACCGTGACACCTCCGCACCCTTTCCCCTTTTCCAATATCCTCTTTGCGTCATGAAACGTCTCGCGCGTACTGTGAAATATGTCGGCTAGAAACATCCCAGACATAGACCTCTATGGCAATGAAAAAATACCAGGCGCTTGATCTAGAAAAGGCGGGCCAATTGGGAGGGTATTTAAACGTGAAAGCACTAATAGTACTCTCTCTCTCTCTCTCTCTCTCTGTATCTCTCTCTATCTCTCTGTATCACTCTCTATCTCTCTGTATCACTCGCTATCTATCTATCTATCTATCTATCTATCTATCTATCTATCTATCTATCTATCTATCTATGTCTCACTCTCCCTCCCATTCCCCCCCCCCCTCTCCCCATCTCTCTCACTCTCTCTATTTCTTTCTCAATTTCTTTCTCCCCCCCCCCCCAAGAAGTCACGTGGCGCCATCCATCATGTGACAAAGCCCCCCTGTGACGTACACTGTCGGGTTAGCGCGGGAAATACGATAGGCCCTGGCATATAATGGCGTCTGGCACCGGTCTTCCTCTTTTACGTTTTCCATGGAAGTCATCATAGGGACACCAGATTGGTCTACAGCGAAACGCCAGACGAGACGAGACGAGACGGCACACGAGACGAGACGAGACGAGATGAGACGAGAAGGTACACGAGAAGAGACGAGACGACACACGAGACGAGACGGCAAAAAAGACGAGACGAGACGAAACAAAACGACATAAGACGGCACAAAAGAGAGACGAGAAGAGACAGCATGAGATGGCACGAGATCAGACGAAACGAGACCAAAAAACGTAACGAAATGAAACCCAAAAAAAACGAGACGACAGGAGACGAGAGAAGACAAAACGAGAGACAGAGAGAAATAATACGGTACAAATACAATACAAGAAAAGGAATATGCAAGAAATATTCAGGTAACATGACGCCAAGCTCATTATGCAGCAAAACGCCTTAGAATGGGGAGAATGTTCGTGAACAAATTCTTTTCAACATTTCACTAGCGCACCGTCGAGGTAACGATTGATATACATGTATTGTATACATGCCTGGTTACCATTCTTTATGTAACATAATATATTATGTATGCCTCTGACTCAGCTCTGTCTCTGTCTCTCTTTCTGCCTCCGTCTCTCCTTCTGCCTCTGTCTCTCACTGTCTCTCTTTCTGTCTCTGTCTCTCTTTCTGTCTCTGTCTCTCACTCTGTCTCTCTTCTTGTCTCTGTCTCTCTTTCTGTCTCTGTCTCTCTTTCTGTCTCTGTATCTATCTGACTCTCGCTCTGTCTGTCTGTCTGTCTGTCTGTCTGTCTGTCTGTCTGTCTGTCTGTCTGTCT